TTTAACGTATTAAGCATATATGCAACAAATTTAAGTAATCTTAAGTATTATAAAACAAAATCTGGCTCTGGAATGATTTACTTTAACAACCCACATCAACTTCTAGACAGACTTGAATTACTCGGTGGTTCAATTCTTGCTGGTAATAATAGTGTAATACCTGAGTTTTCTCAAATAGCACATCTTCTCAACCAAATGAAAGTAATCTCAAAAAAACAACTAAATGATTTACTAAAAAGTTATATACCAATTATATAAAAATGGAAGAACGAGCTATCCACATTTCCTCAATAAACAGGGAGAAAAGAGGAACAAGCAGACCTGGTGATTTTACTATAAAGTTTAATCCATCTTTGAATCTTGACCCTGATAAGAAACATGAACTTGCTCTTGATCGGCTGTCCATGACTTACTCTTGGTATAACATTAGAAGTGATTATGATAATAACAAAATCAAATATACACACGATGGGTCCACCTGGCAAACAATTACTTTTACAGATGGAATGTATTCCTACTCAGATATTAATGATTACATTCATCAATATATGTCACAAAAAAATCATCACTCAACAGACTCAAGTGGAAAAAAAACTTATTCAATTAATCTAACTTTTATACTATCTACCTATAGAGTTCTCATATCACTTGATGGTGATTATCAACTTGATTTGAGGGGAACAAAATTTGGAGACCTAATTGGATTTGAAAAGAAACTTATTACAAAAACAGAGTATGGAACAAAACTACCAAATATCACAAATTCGATTGACGTGTTAAATATCAACACAAGCGCAATAACTGATAGCATTGTAAATGGAATAAATACAAATACTATTGCTGTGGTACCAACTGATAATCTAACAAGGTCTTATCCATTTACGTTTGAGCCTAAAAGACCATTGTATTGTCCTTTATCATCATTTCACATTGATGAAATGAGAATCTATGTGACAGACTCGCTTGGAAGACCAGTAAGTTTTAATGGTATAGATTGGTTTATGACTTTGATACTTCACTCGATGTAATACTTCGTAGTTATATAACTATTAATATAAAATGATGCGACAATCAGAGTTTAAAATGAGACTTGACCCTGAATTGGGTAAATATACAAGACAACATATTTATGGAGAAGGAATGATGGATGTGTTTAAATCGATTGGAAAAAAAGTATTTGGAAAGACAATGAAAAAAGCTGCTAAAAGGGGTGCCCAAAAAGCAGTAACAATGACTGCAACAAAAACTGGTGAACATGCAGGTAAAAAGGCTGGTGATAAAATAGTGCAATTGTTATCAAAAGAAAAGGCTGCACCCTCCAAAAAAAAAGTTACTTTTAATAAAAATATTGAAACAACTCCAAACACTCGACAAGAGATAAATAAAAGAGTGAATGCCATTCTTAGTGGAGGGTCAACACGTAAGAGAAAATTATATCATTATTAAAATAAAATGAAGTCTTTTAGAAATCCAAAATATTTAGAAAGATATGAAGATGTTGTTTTTGACCTTGAACAGGCTTTAGCCACGCCTGGAAATAATGCTCATCAAATTAAAACAGGTCATAGATTTGTTGCTGATAACACAGGAGAAGCTACTCCTTTTGATTGGTATAACGCGCGATTTTCAGTAGATTTCAAAGTTCATCAGCTGGCTGCTGGAGCTGATATAGATGCAGATGGAGATCAAATGGGAGTAGTAAATGGAAGTAGTTCTCTCATAGAAAAGTTATCTATCCTAGCAAATGGTAGAGATGTTTACAGTTGCAACTATGCTAATCATATAGTAAATATTAAGAATTTGCTTGAGTATAATCCATCTTATGTTGAGAGTGTTGCCACAAATGAATTTTACTATCTTGATACATCAAGACATGCTGAAAGAAATAGATTCACAAAAAGGTGAGTAACTCACAGACGAAATGCAGCTAATAACGGTGATGAAGCAGGAGAAATGATAGATGATGTTGAAGCTAATTATAATAAAGGTTTTGCAGTAAGAAAAGCACTATTAGGCGACTCAACAACTGTACGATGTGAAATTCCTCTTAACAGATATTCTTTCTTTGAATCATTAGAGGACAAACTTCTTCCAAATACAAAAATTGAGTTGAATATAGAACTAGAATCGGATAACAATCTTATCTGGCGAGTCGGTGGAAATGATTGTAGAGTTATACTAACAAGATTTCAACTATTTGTTCCAAGATTAACATTTAACTCAGAAGGACAAAAACTATACATGGAAAATTATCTCAAACCCTACAAATGGGTGTATCTTAATGAAGTAGTAGAGCGATCAAATAACTCTCAACAGCAAACAGGTCATTTTAGAATTACAAATGCTATCTCAAAACTACGTCATGTCTTTGTTTTTGGAACTAACACAGCCAATATTGATTCACAAACAGAAAATCCATTCCTGTACAACACTTTTAACCTACCAAACAATGCAAATATATCTCGCTGTTATCTCGAGGTTGGAAATGGAAATGAGTACCCTGATATTCACTTTAAACCAGCTACAGATCCATCAAGAGTTTTCAGAGAAGTAATGGGTTATGTTTATGCAAATAACGACTTTCAAGGTGGAACACTTCTCAATAGAACAAATTTTGAGTCTTTGTTTCCTTTTGTTTATTTTGATCTTACAAAACAAAAAATGGATATAAAAGATGGAGTTACAAAACTTGCATTTCATTACGAATTATCTGCTAATCCAAACGCTGATTATAATATTTACGCTCTGTTGCTTCACGAGCGAGAGGCAGAAATAGAACAACAAGGAGGAAAACTATTGCTTAGAGCTTAATCTCAGACATCCCTGCGGCCTTCCAAACTGTCTCAAAATTTTATACGATCTGTTAAAGTTTCACAGAATTTTCTACAAGTTGTTAAAGTTACACAGAATTTTCTACAAGTTGTAGAAAATTTTGTGTAATCATTTGATTGGTTGAAAAAATCACACGATAATCTCGTGATATATAACAATAACCTTCTAGAAGGTTCTAATGACAATGCAATTTTCTATAATTAGATTTGAAGATAAAATCTAATTATAGTATATTACCCACCAACCGGGTGAAAATATAATAAAAAAATATAATAAACCTAAACCAAAGAAGAAAAGATTAAGTGATGTAATTAAATTTCCTGAAATCAATTTAATATAAATATTATAATAAAAAAATGACTACTTATATAGAATACGGAGTAACACTTACAGATGGACAGAAGTCAAAACTGGCTTCTGCAATAATAAATCAAACACCACTAACTCTTCGGTTAAAACATTCTCATCTTCGAGGTTCTGATGAGTTAATGCTAACCCAGAGACAAATTACTAAAATAAAAAAATCTATTGCAAATGGTACAGGATCAGATATAAAGATAAGTAAAACACAGATTAGACGTTCTGTAAAACATGGAGGAAACTTATTTTCATCACTAGCATCTCTTGGAGCAAAAGTACTACCTTACGCAATTAAAGGAGTTTCAAAAGTTGTTCCTGCATTAGCAACTGGTGCTGCTACTGCACTTGGAGAAATTGGATTAAATAAAATATTTGGAAAAGGAATCACAATTCCCCCTCAGTTTTTCCCAATGTTACCACCTCTTGTAAGAGAATTTACCAAATCTCAAATAAATCAAATTAACAAAGCTTATCAAACAGGAGGTCGACTGGTTATTAAACCAACTCGTAAACAGATAGAAGGAGGATTTTTAGGTGCTCTTGCTTCTATTGGAATTCCAATGGCAATTAGTTTAGTATCTAAGATGTTTGGTGGTGGACTTCAGGTTGATAGACGCGGATCATCTAATACAGCAAATGTTTACGTTCCACCACCCACACATGGTGAAGGTTATCCTTATCACGCACCACCACCCTTTATCGGTACATGGGAAAACCCAATAGGAATGGGAGTAAAAAAAAAGTCCAAAGGCAAAGGACTTCTTCTAGGAAAAAACAGCCCATTCAACTCAATTCCAATTCTCGGAACCATTTTGTAATTAAACCTCTATCCAACTTTGACCTCATGGAATGGATAAAAAGACTTGGTATTAAACATTTTAGAGGAATATTTAGTCGCGATAGACTACCAAACAAAATCAAAAAAGAATGTGGAATAATCAATCTAGATGATATTAAAGGCCCTGGAACACATTGGGTTTGTTATAGAAATATAAACAATGTAGTTGAGTACTTTGATCCATTTGGTTTAATAATGCCAAATGAAGCATTAAAGTATTTTCAAACTTCTGGAAAACGAATAGTTTACTCAATGGATGAAATACAAAATCGCAATACTGTTCTCTGTGGTTATTGGTGTTTATACTATCTTTTTGAGAGACAGCGGGGTAATAGTATTCTAAATGTAATACATAACCAGCATTTTGATGATGACAACAGTGATTTCATACAAGAGTATTTTGGAGGATAAAAATAATATTTAATAAATATTATTTTTTTTTATTCACTATCCGCTGGTGCATCCTTTAGTTGCTTAACTTTCTCAACTTTTTTATTTAAATCTTTAACACTATCAACTATTTCATCAAAACTACAATAAATACTAATAAGTCGATAAAGTTTCTTCTTTTTATCACTATTTATTTTCAACCAAGAATAGTTCTCATCTCTGATTTTTCCCCACATCTCACATTCACTAGCCATTAGTATTCTAGAAAGATCATCATTTTTCTTTCTAAGAGTCTCAAACTCATTATTTATTTGTGTTCGTACATCTTTCTCAAAATCTTTTAGTGTTTTAACATCCTTCTTTTTTTCTATCTCAGAAAAGAATTTGGCTTCCATTTTTTATATAAATAGATAATTACCTTTTACAACTTTATTAAGTGTACTTGATTTTTCACTTATTTCCATAAGCAACTCAAATACTTTTATAAATCTAGTGTCATTTTCCAATCTAGCAAAATCAGCATATTCATAACTCATATTTAGGTTATTATATATCTTTTGAAGTTCACTTTTTAAAAAATCAGATCTAGTAGACATATTTATCTAAACATTATACTAAATGACAGAATCATTTTGCATTGTAGATAAAAGAGTAACTCCTTGCACAGAGCCAAGTGGTTACCAAACAGATAAAAGAGGTAGAACTCAATTCTTTTGTAGATGCGCAGTTTGTGGAAATAAAAAAGTTAGATATGTGAAAACTGGATCAGCTTCTCAAACTGGAAGTGGAAAAAGAGAAAACGAAAGTCAAAAAACTAATCAGCCCGTCTGAAGGGGCGGGCGTCTTTGATACTGTTGTTGGTACAGCAGTTGATGGATTTGTTCATTACGGTTTACCTTGCAGAAATGGGACGATATGGAGCAAGTGAGTTAATGAGAAATAAAAATCTTCAGAACAAAGCTGTAAATTATGGAATCAGTAAACTCACTCCATTTATTCAAGATTCTGTTGGAACAGCCATGGATGAACTATCAACCAAAGTTAGACCAAATAAAAAGTATAAAACTGATAGACCAGAATTAGATGGAAAAGGAATTGATGTTCACAAATGGATTGGAAAACTCCCAAAACCAAAAGCAGGATGGACTCCAGGTTCTTATAAATATATGGGACCCTACAATCCTCTAAACAAACAATTAAGTTATAATCCTGAAACCGGAGAAGTGACAGAGTGGAAAGTTAAACCGTATAACAAAGTCGATGAGATTGCAGCTTATCACGATATTTGTTACGACATGGGAAGAAACAAAGGTGATTGCGATAGAGAGATGGTACAATCATTGGATGAGATACCATATGGTGAAATGCCAAAGTGGGGCTCAACTGCTAGATTCTTGATTAATACAAAACAAAAACTTGGTCTTGGCATTCAAAAAAACGCGAGTCGGCGTTGAGTAGTGATTGGTCTCAACAATTAGCCGACGAACTTCACAAACCAATCACAAGAAACTTTCAAAAAAGATCAGTAATCTCAAACGGGATTGATGATATCTGGGCTGCTGATTTGGTTGAAATGCAAAAGTTTAGTAAGTGGAATAAAGGGATAAAATATCTTCTAATGGTAATAGATGTGTTTAGCAAGTATGGATGGATAAAGGGGATAAAAGATAAGAAAACTGAAACTGTCAGTAAAGCATTTGATGATATATTTAAAAGTAAACGTAAACCAAAGATGTTATGGACAGATAAAGGTTCTGAGTTTATCAGTAAACATTTCAAAGAATTTCTAAAAAGAGAAGGAATCAAGTTGTATCACACTGAAAATGAAGAGAAATCAAGTGTTGTTGAGCGATGGAATAAAACAATGAAAAATAGAATGTGGAAGATGTTTACTGTGAATAACAACACTGTTTACTGGGATAAGATAGATAAACTGGTTAATGACTACAATAATTCGAGACACTCTAGCATTAAAATGACTCCTGTTGAAGCGAGTAAAAAGAAGAATAAAAGTAAAGTTTGGTCTAATTTGTATGGCGATTCTATTTACTTAAAACCTGGAAAACCAAAGTTTTTTATTGGAGATAAAGTTAGAATTTCTAAGTATAAGAGAAAGGTATTTGATAAAGGTTACACACCAAACTGGACAGAGGAGATATTTGTAATTGATAAAGTTATTACGACAAAACCTGTTACATATAACATCGTTGATTTGATGGGAGAAGAGATTAAGGGTTCTTTCTACGAGCAAGAATTACAAAAAGCAAAACAGCAAACATTTAGAATAGAAAAAATTATCAGGAGAGATAATAAGAAAAAAATGGCATTAGTAAAATGGAGTGGATATCCTGATAAATTTAACTCATGGGTTAGTTCTAAGGATTTGGTTGATTTTTAATACAAAATTTGTATTAAAAATAAAATCCTATTATTTACTCATTTTCTTCTTTATCAGATGAAAGTAAGTCTTCAAGACCATCTTTTGTATAATCACCCTCACTCTCTTCCTCTTCTTCTTCCTCTTCAATTGTTAGTAAAGACTCTCTAGGTTTTAATGGTTTGACAAAGCACTCATGTACTTTTATTTGTAAAGATGTTACAGTCTTACTTATAAAGATTCCTTCAACAATCAAAGCCATTTTAACATTGCAGAACTGATTGATATATTTAAAAGGATTTAAATCCTTCTTTCCTTTTGTTTTAAATAGTGAAAGAATTTTCTTAGATTTCTCAGAGTAAATCAGTTTTGCATAAAGAACTGGTGATGATGATGGATCTACTCTTGTTTTCTTCTTTCCTTTCTTATCCGTATATTCTTCCTGTTTGTAATAAAATGGTGAAGATAGAGTTGATGCTAGATCTGCACCGTACTCATTCTCTAGATGTTGCTGAGAGATGGTTGTTATATTGTTAATAACATCAAAAAATGCTTTTTCTTTAGTATTCGGCTCACTACCTTTAGCCCAAAGACATACTGGTATACTATAACCTACTAACTTGTTTGTTTCTTGGTTTTTCTTCTCACTTACTCCAAAAGAGAAAAGAACTGGAGTTTCGATTACAAGTGGACCTTTCTTTCCATTTTGATATTTAACTTCAATTGGAATACGTTTGTATTTAATTTTGCTAGTTTTTACTTTAAACTCTTTGGCTTCATTAAAAACAATATTCTCTGGGGTTAAATTTTCGTAAGTTGACAATTGCATTTTTTATTATAATAATTTAATCCTTAAGCCATAATTTTATTTTCAATTGTGACTTCTATAGAATATAATCTTTCTGAAATTTCTTTTAATCCTTCTTCTAAAACTTTTATAAGTTTTTCGTTAAAATTATCAACATAATTACTATTAACATATTTTTTACCAGCTAAATCAATATCATTAGATGGACTAGTAAAACCAACAATACCATTTGAACTCATTTTATTATATTTTTATCAAATCTTTAATTCACTTTTTTTCTGGCCAGAGTAGATGAACTGACCAATAGTTACTAGATTCAGGATTAGTATAAGTTAACTCCCCCTGTTTATTTTTTATCTTTTTAGCTCTAGCGAGATATTTATCTCGTCGATCTTTGTCTTTGTGAATAGTGTAGTCTGGATATTTTGGCGAACCAAAATGAACTTTCTTTCCACTTGAAAGTGTTGCCATGTATTTATTATTTTTTCGTGTTGAATAATCAAGCGATTCAGCACCTAGTTTTTTAGCATTTCGGGTTAACTTTTTAAACTCTTTTCCACTAACAAGATATTTTTCATTGGGAATATAATCTGGATCCTCATCATGACTATAACCATCATCAACTATAAAATCCAAATCCTCTTTTGTAGGAGTAGTTTCTCTTGATCTTGGTTCCATTTTTTATTAATTGTTTATATTAATTTAATCGATCTAGTAAAAAATAAATAATAAATAATCTTATAACAAAAAAAAATGTTATAAGATTTAATAATCACTATCAACTTTTAATTTATCCTTAAAATTTGTATAACTTTCTAATAATTCTTTATTTTTTATTTCGTAATACAAATTAATATTTTCAGTAGTATCACGAAATTCATCAAAGTAAAATAGATCGCCATAATTATCTAACTCTATTTCTAAATAATCTATAAAAGCAACATCTTCTTCTTTTAAATGTAAATGACTAATATCTTTAAGTCTACCTCTTTCTTGAGATTTTAGAAATCTATTAAAATAGTAAATTAATTGATTAGCTTGAGGAGAACTAAAAATTCTTACCTCATCATCAATTAATCTATTTACAAATCTTTCACAACACTTATTAATCCCTCTTATATAAAGCCACTCCTTATGGAATTGACCTAGATACTCAGGAATTTTATCAATTTTATTGAAACTGGGTGAGCCAGAAAAGTGAGCCAGGACAACCATTTCTATAACTACTGGCATTACTATGATGGACTATGTGCAGCAAATGTCTCATCTACTCCTGTTGGCTTTCTCCTATCTCACTGTGTTTATATCGCATCAGATCTTTTATAGTGGTTGGACATAAATTATTTTATGTATCCTTTAAGAACGCCACAATAGACTTCATAATTATTATTGTGAATACACTCTTTTTGTATAATATCATAAGAATGCCTTATTTTGTGGACAGTGATGAACTAACACTCACATTCCTGCCGTGACTTGTTGTTTGTAATGCTGTTTACATGTAAAATTTCAGCAATGCAATATGAACTTGCGCAGTATCGCAGTATCAATGTACGTACAATACAGGATACCTTGTGTATAAAAGGCCATTGTGAACTGTACCTTAGAATATGTATCAATTTACTTTCGCATACGTGCCCAGGTAGCCTATATTTTAATTATGCCCTTGGCTAAGTGAACAACTTCAGGAATGATTTAATACTTTTTTAGTTTAGTGTTACTTCAAGGAAAATAAAATATTCGTGCACAACATCTTGACAAAAAATATTCATTCAAGGAAAAAATTAAAGAAAAAAAAGCCATAAAGTGCTTTTTATTAATGTGTGCAATATATGTTGATCTTTACCTTATTTCCTGCCAGTTATGTCATCCCTTTTGATGCTCAAAGAAAATCCCTCAGGAGGATTTGAGATATTCTATGGATGGATTGGAGTGTTTCACTGTGCAAGGTATATTAGGACAGAGAATAATTTATTCCTGTACTTAGAAAATGGTTTCAGCCAAAGATAAGAATAAATAAATAAATAAAATAAAAATAGTCAACTTTCTCAAAACAGACCCTGTTGGGACAGCACCAGCATCACAAGAGCAAATGACTTGGGAGAAGAAATAATTATTTGAGATGCATTCTTGTTGTCTTTTCAAGATTAAAAATTAAATTTTTTGGTCGCCAGTTTGCTGTATCTCTGGGGAAAGAAGGACTGGGGGAGAGAGAATGAAAAGAGAAGAATAGAAAATGTTGTCCTTTCCCACTCCTTGCAGTGTCTTCTCTTAAATGATTCATTTTTCATTTCTTGACAAATATGAAAAGACACTGACAAGATCTCAAGAAATAGTTTTGAGTCAATCAAAACCAAGTTCATGGGCTGGTAGAATGCCAATCAGACAAAAGTCCAGATTCTGGACTACAGGCAGATAGCTCCTATCACCTTACACGACCAACTCATTGTAGGCTATTATTTTATATTATATAAATTATAAAATTAGTAATAAAAAAGAGAGGCCGAGAGACAAAAAGCATTGGACTTTTTTTTGCCTTACAGCTGTACCAATCTTTAAAAGGAGGTATTTTAAGTAAATCAAAAAGAAATTTTTACTACCATTGTAAGTGAACAACTCCCTTGAAAAACTGCACTTTATGACTTGAGGCTTCATCTGAAGACTCTGAATCAACTGTAGACCCCTCCCTCCCCCTCCCAACACACACACACACAACCGTGAGACAACAGAGGAAGTCACAAATGTGCAAATGCCCAGCAGTTCCCAGGGGCGACCACCCGGGAGGCCGCTCAGGTAAGCGCATTAGGCTTAGGAATTAAGTGAATCAACTCAAGTTTCGTCACCTAGGGATCGGAATAAGACGCAGGATTGTGGAAAAATATCCAAAAATTAAAAGATGATGGGCAAGGTAAAAATAAGGGAGGCCAAAGCAAAACTTTAGTAAGCTATATCAAAACTACTTACTTGAACAAAGAACTGTGGAATATCTGTTATAGGTGAGTAAGCCCATTTTGGGGGCTCGTATGAGCGCAACTGTGCCATCATGTTTAACCCTCGAGAAATATTTCTGTTCATTTTCAATTAAAATATCTTGCGTCAGATAGCTTTCTGAGTCCATACCAGGAAAAACGATATTTTTGCTTTCCAAACCCTGCGATCACAACGCGCGAAACGAGACGGAAAGAAATTTGCCCGATTCTGTCAGTGGTTCTCCAACTACGTTATGTAAGAAGCATCAAACCGCACAGTCGGAATGCCCACGAGGCTCCAGGACTCTCCGGGTCCACCAACAGGATAGCATGACGTCGTGAAAAAAAAACTCTTCTACCCGATATTTTAATTTTTCAAAGGTTTTTATAGTTTGCAATCGCTAAAAGGGAATGTGTAATTCTAGCTCGCTATCCTTGGCACCGCCTTGCTGCGAGGCTTGATCCCTCCGAGGTTGGGGAAGGGGGGTGGGGGACTCCCCATTGAAAATGTTCGTCGCCTTCTTAGGGGAAGTAAATATAAGCTTTGTGTGTTCAATATTTTTAACCATACCAACCATAGGGGTATCGTCCTGTGGTTGTGCGTAAAGAAATATCTTCATCTAATTAAGCATAAGCCACACCCAGATTGCCAGCTTGCTTTTGGGTTTAATTCTAATTTTCCAACGAGCATCCTCGTCTCATTTTCATATGATTCCCTCGGGGTATTGCCCTGGCTGGAACTTTACACGATCAGAACACGATATAGTCCCCGGCACCGTTTCAAGTATTGGCTTTCGATTCAGAAGGACTGTACTTGGTCATTTTGGAACAAATTGCTCTAAAAATCGATCGAAGTTTTTCTTTGCAATGAGCGCTAGTTGTAGATACACTTGCGTCCCAAAGGATATGACAAATCCTCTCTGTTATTCGTTTTCCATGGCATGCCGATTGCATTTAACCCTGTTCATACAAGAATATATGTGTGGGCACGTGGAGTTAGACAGATATTAATCAATCTGCAAAGTGGGAGGCTACCTTTTTTTCATTTTTATTCCCGGTCTTTATTCCCGTTCGATTGACCCTATTCCTATTCATGTTTCAGTCTTTCGTTCAGCACGGTAAAGGATCGCTGATGTCTCCCAATACAAAACCTGCTTTGCTGTTTCTGTAGACTGCAAGCTTGTCATCAGAGAAGCCATTTTACCGTCACACAAACCAAATACCCCGCCTTTAAAAAAATCACATTAACAATCATTATTATCACTGCACGTGGCCAAATGACAAACTGCCCTCTCTGAAACACTCCTTTTTGCGGGCCAAACGGCAAAGTGCGGGTGTAAATGGAATTTGCAGCCCGCAACTTGATTTCATGTTAAACATTCTTCCCTTATGAAATAAATTTGTACGAGTTGGCCTTATGTATTGATAATAATGATAATCACATAACTTTTGTCGGGCATATAGTTTATTTGTGTCCCTCGTAGCATCATTTGCACCCTCGCTCCGCTCGGGCGCAAATGATACTACTCCAAAAGTCATGTGATTGTCCCATTCTCGAAACCAGTGCTTACGCGTCTGACTCCGCGCGTACTCCTGACCGTCATGCGCAGAAGAGCTCAGGGGTCGAGATTGAATAACAATTAAGCTGAATAACGCACGCATAGGCAGTGAGAGAAATTGCGAATAACACAGCATATCGATAGACCGAGACAAAAGACGGCGCGGATGTACCGGTATCTTGATTCTTGAGGTTAACCTTCCTGTTATATGACCTTCGTTATATGCAACATTTCTGCAAAACGAGTTGAATAGCGATGTTGAGCGTTTTACCAATCAATGCAACAAATAAAGTTGAAAGGTTTTAATTCGTGAGTGGTAAAACGCGCAACATCGTCGCTATTCAACTCGTTTGGCAGCGATGGTGCAAAACAAGTTGCATTTACCTTTAAACCTCATTGAAATGAACAACAGTAAATATGCATAAATCTAAGGAATCACGAAAAAGATTCAGGGCATAGTATTAAAATGACGCCATCATGTAAATGGCCTATTACAATAACGTTGACATAGAAAAATGGGAAAAGGGAACTTTAAAACGTTTCCTATGAAAAATTTGGTACTAGGGATCAGGTCTGAAAAACGGATGAAGCAACAAAAGGTGTTAACCGTGGCCAACTCTCTTCTGCAAAAGTGTTGCTAGACGGGAGTCGCTTTGGCGTGTAGTAAAAAAGAAACGAAAGAAATCTAACAAACTAGCCTGGTTTTATTACATGCATACCCCCTTTGTGAGAAAAATTGTTTCGAATCCAAGTACGTCTTTTCATCCAGCGGTTCTTGTTTAAACGAAAACGTGGTTTCATAGACAACATATTCCGTACTCTCTGCAACCATTTCGTAGGCTTGTCCCCCCCCACGCGCTCATCGTTCATCCAAAAGAAACGTTTTTTGGCAAGAGGCAAATTACATGACATCATATTATCCGGGCTGGTTCAATTTGTCGAGAACTTGCCACGCTGCTCCCTCCTGGATCGGTTATTGTGATGTGATCGATCTCAGTTTCGTCATTTATATTTCCATGAGCCCATAATGGTCCTGATATTTCTATTTATCGGACAGGAGCTAATGGTGTCCGCAGTTGCCTAGCAACAAAACCGATAAGTACCTCCTAGCTCGCTTCCCTGTTCTCATTTGATCATTTTTCATTGTGCT